CTTGACTGGACACGTCCGGTCAGTGCTGACCGGACGCAGATCAGAGTCCGGTCAGAACTTAACGGCTCTTTTCTGACACAGTGTCAGGGGTAACTGACCGGAGCGTCCGATCACCCCGCAGAGTGACGACTCAGCCTTAAACGTTATGTTTTGAATGATGGAGTATAAATAATTACTCCACTCGTCCAAGGAAGGCCTCTTGCCTATTTGTTCAGCTGAGAAACACCCTTAAAAGTGCAAAGGAGAGCAAGAGCCTAGTGAGATGATTGAGATTTGACAATCCAAGATTAAGGCCTCATTAGTGCAAGGAGAGTAGCAAGTATGCATCCACCCTTCTCATTAGGCTTATTGTGGTTAAGTGAGAGTTTGTGCTTGTTACACTTGGTGATCGCCATTATCTAGATGGCTTGGTGGTGATTGGGAGTTTGGTGATCATCCGGCGGAGCTTGTGGATGACCCAACTCAAGTTGTGAGCGGTTGTAGGTGATTCACCACGACAGAGTGTCGAAGAATCAGCCCGTAGAGAGCACTTGATCCTTGCGCGGATCAAGGAAGAGCTACACCCTTACGCGGATGCTCCAACGAGGACTAGTGGGGAGTGGCAACTCTCCGATACCTCGGTAAAACATCGCCGTGTTCCTTTCTCTCTCTTTACTTTAAGCATTTACATTTGAGCAATTCATTTCTTGTCTTTACATTCCTAGAATTGCCATATTAGAGTAGGATTAGAACTTAGGGTGTAAAACTTTTATGCGGTAGAACAAGAGAATTATATTCTAGGCATAAGGGGTGAAGTGGGCTAAGTATAGGACTTGATTATTGCAAAGAAATTTAGAATTAGCCTAATTCACCCTCCCCCACTTGGGCATCTTGATCCTTTCAAAGGCCCTCGGCAGGGGCTTTGTGAACATGGCAATCATCCATGGGGATATTTGGCTGAGGAACTACCTTGCCAAGAACTACTATATGTAGTTCTGTCCATCTAGGACAACAAGGCAAGGAGGGGGTTGACTGTTGAGATGTATAGTTCTTCCACCTCCCTCAACCACTCTCTTCTCTTTTAGGTTCCATTTTGGTGTAGCTCCTATGCATGGTAGACGGCTAACCAGCACCTGTCCTTTTGGGTTTGCATAGTTGGAGGGTGACTAACTATATCTGAGCAAGTGTAACTAGGTAATTCACTTAAGTGCCTACTTGTTGTGGGCTGAACCTTTATTTGGAGACTGCTACTGCTACTATATTTGTCACTCTATGTTCCTGTTGCATTGGGAGGACTGTATTACATTGTGCTTTTCATGGGTGTCATTGAACCCGTGGGACACATCCATTCCCTAGCAACAGCATGCTCATACCATGCTGATAGCAGTGAATGGATGTGCCCATGGATTTCATGGCTTTCATGATTTTGGGGATGGCCTTGTTTGAATCTTCACTTCATGCTTTCATATATTTCTGTTATTTCTTGGATTTGATACCTGTTTTTCCATGAGTTGGTGCCTAAAGTGGGTTTCTGATCTGGCCTATGATACACAATGTGGAAAAAAACAATGAGATGGCTGCACAACTGTTTCATGTTGTTATTGTTTTTTCATGGCTTGTTCTTACTAGTTTTCATGACTGTCATCTAATCCATATGAACCATCCATTCTCTTGCAACACCAGTTGGATGACGGCAGAGAATGGATGGCCAGATGGGTTCCATGGCAGCCTTGATGTTCTGTTCCTACTTATTTGCAGTCTCAAAGTTGCTGCTTTTCTGTACTTAGTTTGCTACATGTGCAGCCACCTGTGATGAGTAATTACATGAATTGCAGCACCAAATTCTAGAGCTGAGGCCACTTTTTTAGCCTATGATGTCAATTGTTTCATTTCAACAAGATGAACCAAGCCATCGGTGTGGCATTTAGGATCATGGATTGTTTCTTTTATCAATCCCTAGATCTTCAATGTCGCACTCATGCCTTGTTTCATGATTCACAAAGGACTGAGGCTAATTACAATTCTGATTTCACAGAAAATGGCATCTTGCTATGTGGTTTTCCATGAGAAGCAACCTGGAATCTATAGAACCTGGTATGAATGCAGTGAACAGGTTCTTGGATTCAAGAATGAAAGGTATTTGAAGTACAAAAATTACGAGGAGGCACTTAGAGATTTCAAAGCATCTCTGCGAGCAGCAACTCCCCTCCCCTCCCAGCTGCTCCTAGATGACTGTTGTGGTGAAATTCCTACAGCTATTGGTAAGAGTGGTTGTTGGAAGAATGTGCTTATATTGGCTCTTTCTGTCTTGTTGTTTGCTCTTTGGATGAAGATAAACAAGTGTCCCTCGTGTAATTGTAATGTATAGGCCAATGATGACAACAACCTAAGTTTCATTACCTGCCTTCATGCTTTTGTTCTGTGTCTCATGAACCCATGTCTTAGCTGGTTATGCTTTTGGACTACTGTTGTATGTACTGAACTCATAATTGTGCTGTTGATCTCTCTGTCACATTGGTTTTTAATTATCTCGAGGCAGGTATGATTAATTAATGTGTTACAACAATAATTAGTCCTGAGGTCAATCTGATCAAAATCATATTGCTGTTGTTGTATCCTCTTGTCTGATCACATTTGCATTCTTAAATTTGTTGTTGTTTTCTCTATACACTGCTGGTTCTGGTATTTAGCCTATGGCTAGCCGGGCCGAAATAAAAAAAAACTCCATCTAGTAGTTGGAGATAGTTGGTGTTGGGCCAGGCTGGCTGGAAGAAAACAGCTGGGTCCGTCTCCCTAGCTGTAGGAAATCAAACACACCCTTGTGTGTGCTCTGGACCAGGCCGTGGCTGGCCAGGGCCTGACTGACGGGCTCGACCACCCCTGCGCTCTATATCAAACAGGCCCGTCATGTTTCGGGTGAGGAACAAATAAAAAGTCAACAAAGAAGGGAATCAGAAAAAGAAATTAATTAACTGGGTTGTCCCTTTTCTAGACCACAATTCCATTTGGTTACTGTAATCACCTCAAAATATGTGGTTACTGAAAGTCGTCCAAGTGTACTTCCATATTCCATCCCTTTTTTTTTCCACACCATTTTTTTGAAACATTTGTTGAGCTCTCCAGTTCCTTGTGGTATTTTTCTGTCAGGATATAGAGCAACTTCTGAATTACATTGGCGCTAAAACTAAAAGCCTTGGACCAAAACATGAACTACTCTGCCAGCTAACCTGAAGCAGATGACAGCCATCATCCTGTCACAACAGTACTACATTTGTGTTGATTAGTTTGACCCAGATACACTTGTGGTGTTCTGAATGAGTTTAGTGTGGATGTAGTTTGGTGCTAATTTTTGTCTAACCCTCCTTTTGATTTGACACATACAGTATGAGTCAGACGATGTTTCTGTGCTGTGCTGATACACCCATTGTAATTAATTCGTAAAAAATGAGTAAATCAAATTTGTAAAAAACGAAGATCCCAGTCTGGCATTGTTTATAAATAAATTAGCACATCAAAAGGAAGCAGAGGCAGGGCAGGCATGGATTCATCCATTCATTGCTGCACCTGCACGCCCCACCATTACCCTACCCTACCCCACAAGAAAAGAGAAGCTGACCGCATGCTGCACCATCATTGTACTACCATCTACGAACTGGTTGAAATTTCTTTTCCTTTTCCTTTTTGCTTTTCCTTTTTACTCACTGTATATGTAAACAAATGTTTTCTTGGGTGAAGGTAAATGATGTGGGTTGAGGTTGATGGCTGCCATTAATTTCAGTGAGCAGTCCTGCACAGTTCTCAAGGCTGTACTGTACGGTATGGTCCCAAGCCTTCTAAACTGCAGAGCACAGAGAGGTAGTACGGTGCAGGAGCCAGGTCAGGACTCAAAATGGATTATTATTATTATTGGAAGGAAGAAATGAGCCATAGCCAACGAGGCGAGCACGACAGACAGCTACGACTAGGGGGGAGAGGGAGGATCAGTTCAATGGCTGGCTGGCTGATGCCATGATTGCGGCCCTGCACAACTACTGCAGGCCGCCCGCCCGCAGGAATCGCCGGCACCAGGTCGCCGCTCGCTGCCTTTCCGTGCCGGCCGGCCAAAGCATTTCTGCTGGTGGTGGCGTGGTGTTGCTGCCTGCCTCTGCCTCCAAAGCAAAGAATCCCAGTAGAGGGAAGAGGAGAGACACGCTGCACTGCAGCTTCGTGCTGTTTGCTTCGCTTTATTCCCCTTCCTTGTTCCAGCACCAGCTCCCCTGTCACTCCATCCCCATCCCGCCTTGCTTTCCCCGTCCGCCAAACTCCTCGCCTCTTGGCTGTTGCTGCGTTCGTCCGAGGCATTTCTATTTCAGAGCGCAAGAACAAGTTCTTCTTCGCCTGCCGCCTCGTCGCTGAGGTGCTGAGGTGCGGCTGCCGCCGATTTCTGTTTCTTGCGCTGTCTGTGCTACTCTTTTTCTTTTCTTTTCCCCATAGCCATTGTTGTTGGATTGGACCCTTCTGCAGCCGAAGCCTCATGCTTCATTCATGTCCTCGTAGCTCTTCCTTTCCTTCTGTATATATATTGTTTTCATAGACACTACTTGATCTGCAAATCCCCGTAGCGGCCGGTTCTTTTACCTGTTATTGGTAGTACCATCTTACTGCTAGTTTCATTTGGCCTGGTATTGTTTTACGCATGTGCACTTTACATAGTGCTGCTATTAGTAGCCAGTTTAGTTTGGAAATCAGTGAGCTTAGTTTATTCACATAAGGTTGGTGAATGATTGGTATAATCTGATCAACTTAGTTTATTTTCCCTTTTTTTTAGATAAATCCGGCCTGTGCGTCAACTTAGTTTATTTTCTTACATAGGTATCACGTATCAGTGATATGCCAATCCTTAACTTTTCTTCCTTCCTGCATAAACACTGCGACCCAACCTAGTTTCAATGCCATTGGACAGCATTTCAATACTGATCTGCCTCCTTTTTCTGTTTCCAGTTTAGATCTGCATCCCGGGGATGAATCCAAGGGGGACAAAGATGGCACTTGATGCAGACAACATTCTGCTGCACATCAAGAGGACATTGCATTCTTCAGTCAGGCTTGCCTATCATTCTGCTTCTGAGTATCCTGTGGCACTCGGCATCGGCATGCTGCTGCTGTTCCTACACAGACTCTGCCCTTCTCTGATTACTTTCCTGCTGTCTTCGTCCCCGGTCTTCCTGCTAACTGCACTCCTTCTTGGAGCGCTGTTGAGCTACGGGGAACCAAGTGCTCCAGTGATCGGACAGGACCAGAAAAAATCGTCCGTTGAATCCAGAGTATCCATCACTGAATGTTCAGTGGCTGAGGAGGTTCAGAATGTCGCCGTCACCCACATGTCAAGGAGCTTTTTTGAGAGCCCAGTTGTCTGCGTTGAGGAAACAACTTCTGATAGCATGTTCCATGATACCCACCGTGATGAGGACAGTATTGTCACGTCTGTGTCTGCTGATACCGTTCGCTGTGCAGAAGCTTCTGAGCTTACCAAGAGTGAAGTTGTTATTGTGGGAAGAGAGGAGCGTGTCAAGGAAACCTGTGACAAGGTTGAGCTTCAGCAGTTTTTTCAGAGCAGCACTGCTGAAGGTGTTTCCGTTCAAGTGGACAAAACTTCCGAAGGTGTTCTGCTTGATGCTCTGTGTGATCAAGGAAATGTGACATCTATGTCCACCGACACTGTTCTTTGTGCTGAATCTTCTGGGTTTGGCAAGAATGGTATCATTGCTGAAAGAGAGGAAGAGGAGCATGTTAAGGAAATCTGCGAGCAGGTTGCGCCGCCGCAACAGTCTGAGAGCACCGTTACAGAAAGGTGTCACTATGAAGTGAACAATCAGTATCAGTTCGGTGAACTCATGAGCTCATGTTGGCAACCTGTTACGCGACAGGATCCTTGTTCTGATTCTGAGTCTGACCTTACTGAAAGCTCTTCTGATGCATCGATCACCGACATCATACCGATGCTTGATGAACTGAACCCACCTGTAAACTTGGGGACCAGTCATCCTTCCTCAACCTTCAGAGACAACCTGAACGCCAGCTCATCAGATGAAGATGAAGATGAAGATGAAGATGAAGATGAAGATGAAGATGAGTCGGAGGAGGAGGATGGTAACCTTAGCTCAGATGAAGATGGAGAAGAAGAAGAGAAGAGAGACGCCGAAAGTAGCTGGAAAGGCTTTGTGGATCCAAACTCTTTGGATACTGAAAAGAATGGGAACTTGGAGAGTCTGATGGCGCGGCGACTAGCAAAGAATGTTCTGAAGTTTGAACTTGACAGGAGGCTAATGGACATGCAGGCCGCTGATGCAGTTCAGAAAATGGAGGAGGCATCACGCTTCCGTGTTCAGGTGCCCTCCATTTCTACACCAAGGCCCGATCCTTCAAATGATTCAGAGGATACAGTGGAGTTACCACAGGTTCCTGATTCAGCGCCGTCTGTGCTGCTTCCCTGGAGGAAACCGTTTGATATTCCATTTGACCAAATTGTGGACCACGACAGCCGTTTGCAGGAAACTTGGACTCCTCGCTCAGGCTTTTCATCATCACAGGGAAGGAAACGTGACAGCTTGTATGTAAGGCAGTCTACTTATATGCAACATCACAACGGAATAAAGCCAGAGAAGTCTGAATTCAGTAGAAAAGATGCTGTTGACAATCACTCAGAAAGCGATTCTGAGGAACCACTTGACAACAATGGCAAGTTATTTATCTCACTGGAACCACGTATTGGTGATGAGATCAAAATACTAAGCGCGGCAATTTCAGATGTGTGTGTGCTCGAAGCAAATCATGGAATTAAGGAGGGCAGCACTGATTCCGTCAACGGCACAAATTCCTTTTATGTCCAAAAATCACTGTCCAGCGCGTCAGATGTGAACAATTCAATTTATGCAGGTAATAGGGATCATTTTTCAGATTAGAGCTATGCCAATTATATATTTGCAATGTTTACTCAAGTAGAGCTGATGTCATGCACGCAGGTAATGAGCAATCGGTACTTTGTTCTCTATCTGAAGAACACAACAATATTGAGGAACATATGGTTGAAGTTGAAGAAGACGACTCCATGAGTGAAGTTAACTCGTTATTCAAGTGCCGCATGGAGGAAGTGCTAGTGCAGTCCATTTCAGAGTCTGGCATAGGCCAACCCTTGATGGTTAAACTTGAGCACGAGCTTAGTGATACTTTATTACACGCAGAACCTGCAATACCTTTGATTGAAGCAAGATCAGTAGAAGAGCTGAATTCACAGTTTGCTCAGCTGAATGGAGAAGCATTATTAGCACCCGCTGCTTCTATCTCCAGTTGTGATGATGATCAGCCGATCCAAGACGGGCCAAGTGAAGCATTGCCTGTGGAAAATGGGGATACTGAAGATTCTTCAGATTGCACGCTTGACAAGGGTCCAGTGGCTGTGAAGGTCGTCGAAGGTGAAGGTGAGCCAAAGGAGGTGCTGACTGAAGACGGTGGGCTTCCTGTTGTAGAAGCAAGCTCGGTTGAGGAGATGAGCTCACTGTTCAGGCAACTGGAAGCAGCAGCAGCAGCAGGGCCAGCACTGATGCGTGCTGGTAGCTCAGAGTCAGAGCAGATGTTTGTTGGTCAGCACACTGGAGAGACAGAGACTGATTGTGGTGTGCTAGTTCCTGAGCCTGCTGCTTGGGATGATACCAATCCTACTTATGTGCAGTTAAGCATCGACGGCGGTGACAAGATGAAGATTCCTGGAGATGGCGAAGTAATCCTGGATAATTCGCCGAGGTAAACTCAGGACCGTGCGCTAAGGATGATGGAAGATCTGGATCCGATGACACCAAAGTTTTTGTGGCCAAAGAATCACTTGAAAGTGCTTGATCTACTCTTACTGAAGTGCCGCAGTCAGGCAGCTGAAGAGATATGTGGGAGTGATGTTTGATCACAGGGTGCACCCGGTGCAGTGCAGGTAGCCTAGCTAAATCCTGAAGGAGGTGGATGGGAGACATCATCGTCTTCTCAGATGTTTATTTTTTTATCTGTGGAGAGAATGGAGTGCGCATGTCTATGTTGATATGTCTTTGGTTTAATTCGTCTGTTCATACTTCTTCATTTTCTATTTTTTTCCCTTCGGATGATGGACAAATTAGGGTGATGCAGTTTGGCAGTAGCATGGATCGCTGGTTGTTTCATGTGCCGAGTGCGGAGTTTTTATACATGGATTCTCTTCGTTTGTTTTGGTTTCATGTGTTTACTGATGCGTACTAACTATGTAAGCTCAATAGTTACTGTTACTGCACCGGTACATAAATCTGGGAACTGTCACACGCACCCCTCCCTAGTTTTGGTGGTGAGGCAGTTGCTGATCCACAAGGAGAAGACATACTGCAGGAGTTGTTGGAAGAAGAAGATGAATGAAGAAAAAAGACTGGAAAGGGTAGCTCGTTCGCGCGTTGGATGATGGGTATGGAAAGGTTAGCTCCTCCAAATACTACAAGCGAACCGCGTGGAGTGTCTGAAACTCTGAACTCTGAAGGTTTGGTAAGTAGGCCTATATAATATAATGTAAATTATAATGTAACCGACAGCTCTGGTTAGCTGAAACATGCCTGAAAAAGATTGCATATAGAGAGACTACTGCAACTCTGCAAGTGTATTGAAGAGTAGTAGTATATTATTGTACTAGCATGCGATGCGTGCACATATATGTGTGTACATCATCTACGCGTTTTCGCGCTTCTGCTGCTTTTGGTTTTGTGCACGCTTCTTGTGGTTATGATATGATATGGTATGAACTATGAAGCTTGGGATTGGGACCAATTGTGCGCTGCAGACTTCACCGGCCTGCCCTGCACGATTTAAACCTGACAAACGAGAGAATAGGTCAGTGCACGTTAATATATACGTTATTATTATAATAATAGCCCTGCTTGTTGGTAACTTGATATATACAATACACCATCCGTGAGTTTTAAAATGTAGGCCCCCTTTTTCATTAATTTTGTGCTAGGTCAAATTTATCTAAGTTTGAAATGAACTCACATATACAAATACCATGTTAGGCTCATCAAACCAACCATAAATTAAAAAGAAGTCTTGATATTGCAATTATTTGGTGTGGTAGATGTTAATATATATATATATATATATATATATACTCCGTATCTTTTAGTCTGTTCGTTTGTTGGTTTCAGCCAGCCAACAGTGTTTTCCTCTTACAACGAGCCAGCACCAGCCGGGTTTATCAGCTCAGAAACCAACCAGCGAACAGACCGTTTGTAGTTTACAAAGTTAGAAAAATATCGACTTTGAACGAAATGAACTCGAGGGTCCGTAAAACTGAAGAGTTTATAAAACTCGGCCATATAACTGAACGAAAAGCGAAAAGGAAAATAGCCGTGCGCGGGAAGGCCTGACTCCTGAGAGCACGCGATCAGATAAATAAGCAGTGCCTTAAACTGAAACAGGAGCTGGCTCAAGGAGACAGGTTGGTACTCCTGTACTTTGGTAGTCTAGCTAGCCTCCAAATGGACTCCACGCAAGCACAGAGCGAGCTGGCACTGCAAATTTGCATTGCCTGGACCTGGACAAGCATAACAGACAATTTGCATTGCCAATTTGCATTGCCTGGACCTGGACAAGCATAACAGACAAGGAAGAGGATATACTCGGAATACATATAATGGATTAGGTAGGATTAACAAGGTGGTTAGCGGCCGGTTAGGTATATATAATATAATTAATCCATCCTAGGATGCAAATATGTACCCTGTTTCTGACTACTGGAGGATGCTAATGTGCACTCTGTTTCTGACCTCTGATCTTAATCTTAGATTCTTAGATGGTTTCCTCTCCCTTCTATTTATTTTTCAGCAGGCCATGTTTGAAAACGTACTTCATTGTCCAAAAAAATTGTTTGGAAACGTACTACTAGCCTCCTCCTCCAGACTCCAGAGTCTGAACTCTGATGAAGTTGGAACAACAAGAGCAGCAGCAATCCGGAAATTTTATTTCATTGTTCAGTTCATTAAATATGGGCGTCACCACTTAACAAATGACACTGATGCATGGTTAGTTGTTACACATTATCAACTCTGGATGACTGGATGGACTAATGATACTAAAATAAACTGATGATGGGAGTAGTTAGTTTGCTGAAGGCCGAATTGTTTCTCTGAATTTTTCATTCTCATCTGGTGGGTGTGACTAGAAAAGATGCCTCCCGAATTGAAGGAAGGAAAGCCCGCACGCGTACGTAGATAGACCGGCCGTCTCAGGCGACCAAAACAAACGGACACTGTCACGGGCCTATTTGCACACTGTGACACGCATTCGTCAGCCTCTGGCTCGCATTCGTCGGGGATAAAATATTACTAGAATATATTTTTTTATTTTATAAAAAGAAGAGTGTTAGGAGACAATTGAGGGTACGTAGGCCTGCATGTTTCACAAGAGAGAAGCAGCAAGGTGTACCGTGTTTTTTATAGGCCTGCATGCACCTGGTCTCAAGAATTATATATGTATATATATATTAATATATAGAGAGAGAATAGTCCACCATACTTTATTTATATATTTAATAAAGCCGTGAAGTATGAAGAGCGTGAGATGACCGTTTCCCTCGTGTCCCTTTCTTTCCTGGCACACCTTTTCTTCTCCTCTTGTTCGTCGTCGTCGGACGCGGCGCGGCCTCCGCCCTCCATTGGTCGATCGCCGCCCTCACGCCTACATTAAACGACGAGCGCAACGCTCACTCCCACGCCTCGGCTGCCCCGGCTCAGTCAGCGTCTCACCGAGAGCTCACAACCACCCTGCTTCAGCTCCAGCTTCACCGTCACCCTCCCTTCCTCCAGTTCCACCACCATGGCCGACCGCGTCCACCCGGCGCCACCGCCGCTCTCCTCCTCCCCGCCTCATCAGCCACACGACCAGCGCGCCGCCACCACCGCTCCCTCCGGCGCGGTGCCCCCGCCAACGGACACAACCCCACTGCAGCGGCGCCCGTCCATCGCGAGCCCTGCGGCGCCACCACCGGGCACCTACATCGTGCAGGTACCCAAGGACCAGGTGCTCCGCGTCCCACCCCCAGACCGCGCGCGCCGGTACAAGAAGCTCTCCACCCGCCCGGCGCGGCGCCGCGCGCTGCGCCGCGCCTGCTGCTGCGCCTGCGCGGCCGTCCTCCTGGTCCTCGCCCTCGCCGCCGCCTTCGTGGGCGCCGTCTACCTCGTCTACCGCCCGCGCGCGCCGGCCTTCTCCGTCGCCTCCCTCTCCATCCACGGCCTCAACGCCACCTCCCTCGCCCTCTCCTCTCCCCTCACCCCCCGGCTCGACGCCGTCGTGCGCGCGGACAACGGGCGTAACAGCAAGGTCGGCATCGAGTACCGCGGCGGCGGGGAGGTCGCGGTGTCCTACGACTCCGGCAGTGCGCGGCTCGCGGCGGGCTCGTGGCCGGCGTTCCGGCAGCCGCCGAGGAACGCGACGGCGTTCGCGGTGCCCATGACGGGCAACGGCGTGCGGCTCACGGAGGTGCAGGCGGCAAGGATCGCCCGGGAGCAGGCCGCCGGCGCCGTGCCGCTGCAGGTGGAGGCCACCGTGCCCGTGCGCCTGCGGTTCGGCGGCGTGCTCCGGACCTGGACCGTGGACGTCAGGGCGCGGTGTGATGTGGCCGTTGATAGGCTCGACGGCGACGCCGTCGCTGTTAACAGAGGGTGTAGGGTCAAGGTCAGGCCGCTCTGGTGGTGGTGGTGATTTGGTTTGGTCGTCGCGGCCGCGCCGCCGCTCGCCGGCATCGTGGACACGTACGTGGTTGAGGTTGACGACGCCGGCTGAACCGTACCCGATCCAACGGCTAGTGATCAGTTACTGCTTCTGCTGCACTTACTGGCATTGAGCAACGGTTGTTACTGTGAAGACAAATTGATTTATAGGGATTTTTTGGGGCGTGTTTAATTTGGATTTCTTGTTAATGCAGACAGTAACTCAGTAAGTATTATACTGTAATAACTTTCTCTATACTTTTTTGCTGTAATATATATATTGTACAAAAGAGGAGCAAATAAATGACCGGAGCATGCATTTCGCTGTGTCCTGAGCTGAGGGCTGCCGCTGTGAATGTGAAGATGGAGAAAAATCTCAGTTCAGTCACTGTTGGTGTAACTGGCTGTTGAACCGGCGGTGCATTTCTGCACTCTGTACGTACTAGTCTGTGGCCAAAGTCGGTCAACTCGTGTACTCGTTGTGTAGTTCGATCTTGTCTTGCTTGTGCTGTCACCAACTTATTATTGCCAAGTCGCGTCTTGCTTGGCGTTTTATTGTGTGTTTTCAAAAGAAAACAATGTGTCTTTTGTATGAGCTTGGTGGCGTTTTATTATAAATTTCAAGTTTGGTGCAGAGGATTTTGCTACGAATAGTGCCCGAGCGGCTGTTTGTCCATGTCTCCATGGCCCTGTGCTGGGGTGTCGCATACTCGCATAGGCAGCAACCTGTTGCTTCAGTTCTTTGTGTCACAGATGGATTTTGCACTATAACTAATTAAATGTTATGTTACTTCCTTCCGTTCTAAACTTTTCATCGTTTTAGGGTTTTGATACATAATCTTTTTTTCTATCCACCTAGATATGCGTTGTGTGTGTGTGTGTGTATATATATATATATATATATATATATATGAAACTAGGTATACGGGACAACTAAATCTTTTATACTAAAAACACACGGATCGCACGATAAGATAACAATAATGTTAAATTAAATACCGACGTCAAAGTGACATTTAATTCAAAAAGCAAAATT